TGGTAGCTCGTTTAAGTTTTAATAAGCTGACAATCATTGTTATACTAAGAATATCCTCAGAGAGGTGATATCAATGGCGTTATCTCCCTGTATCAGTTGATCTATGCAGAGAGCTCATCCCTCCCTTAATTAGTACTGGGTTTATTAGTCATCACCTTTGAGAACCCCATGTTCTATGTAACCTAACTTTCCAGGGGGAGCGGCTAGGCATACTACAATTTGGATAATGAGGACAAATATATCCAGGGGTGAAATATGGACGTAAGAGTCTAATGTTAAATCTTCAGGAAAGAAAATCATGGTCTATTTAAGCAATCTGAATGTGGCCATCTAGAGTCAGTTGCATGGAAGTTCAGCCTGTTGTTTAAAAAGGTTTAGGTATAAAAGTGGCCATTCAGTAAATGTCCATTTCCTGTGCAGAGTGTTGTGGGGTAGAGCTTCCTGCAAGAAAATACTGTATTTTGTGCACAACACACCAAATACTCCTAACCGCACCAAAAATACCTTTCAGTGATGACATTCTAGAGTCTAAGAAATGTGTTAAAAGAATGGCTTTTTTTTATTGCCCCCAAATGTTAATTTACCTGCTAGAAGAATAGATCAGGGAAGTGAATATACTTTTGATTGTCTTTTATTTGTTTGAATAACATATCCAGTGTACTGACCAAGTGAAAGGGAACCCCTCCCCCCTTCTAAAAGAACATTACAGTAATGGTCAAAAATACTGCAGTGATGCTTTATAAGCTGTAGAATTGGGACCATTACTGTAGGTTGTCTTTATATGTGTGATTAAATGAATCAAGCTGTGAATGTAAGAGAGCTAGGGCCAAGTTCACTTTATCTGTACCCTACACAATGCTGCCCTCCAGTGTATTTTACGTCTATCCTAGTAGATAAGTGACACATTCCCTAAATGGTGTCTGTGATCTGTCTGTGAGGCTCTGCTAGAGGAGATGGCCTAAAATGTTGTTTATTATGGTCCACTCTCCATGGTTAAAGTTTCAACCAATTTCTATGATAAAGCCTATTTTAGTCCCTATGTGTATTTTTTCCTTGGAAAATATGTTTGCTTTGAAAATTGCCCAGTTTCTTCTGAAGGGAAAGGGGAATGTTTCAGCAAAGTTTGAAGGAAATCATCAAATTGCTCAAAGATCAGGTCATGAACTGTAATTGATTTGAAAAGTTGCCTTTTGACTGTAGTTTGTCTCCCTCTAGATCAAAACTAGCTTGTTACTGCCCCTTTGAACAATCCCAGGTAGTTAAATCCCTTTGGACACTTGAGCACTGGTGGTATTTTTGGGGAAAAAAAGGTTGGCCCCAGTCCTGCTCCCACTGATTCCAGTGGGAAAGCCAAGCCTGTTCCCTCTGATCTCCGTGGGAAGTAGGTCGGAAATGATACGCTGAATGTAGCAGCTCAGAGAGGTGTTTGTGTTTTGTTTATCATTATGCAAGGGTGCCATAGCCATATTCTGCTGCTGATGATTTCCATCTTCTTCAGCTGACTGTGAGGGTGAAATCATATTTCTTGTTCCTGCTGCTGAAATTGGTGGAAATCCCAGTAGCAAGAGAACAGGCATGAGAAATGAGAAGCTTAGGATTTTGTCTGGATTTTTGCTGGTACTGCATTAGCCCTGTTCACGGCTTTGCAGTAATAGTGATGCTGTCTCCTGGAGACCTGACAGGAATTCTGGACACTGTATCCTCACAATCTGTAATTACCAGCAAAGTCTAAATTAACACAGACGTGTGAGCAATGACACCGAAAAGTGCCTTTAGTGCACACTAAATTATTGTATGTGTGTGGTACCCTAGGGCCTGGCAGTGATGCTGATATTAAACTTAAGAAGGATCTTTCCGTTTAAACCCTTCTGCCTAGTTGTTCCTGACATTACTTCGCCCGTTGTTTCTCTGGAATGACGTATAAACATTCATATGTTAGTGTAGCTCTCTGAGGAATGTTGTAAACATTTTCAGGGTTTTTAATGGACTGTTGTCCAGATCCATCTTGGATTCATTCATGTGGCCTTTATAACCAATCTGTGTTTTGTATGGTCTCCAGTGTGTGTGTTACAACTAACTCTCTGCAGTGCAGGGGGAGCTGTTTGGATATTTTACACGTACACCAAAGACAACATGAACTACTTTCCATGGAACACCCGCTGAGATGTGAGGAGTGAGAGGTGAAAAGGAAACCAAATAAAATAACTCACCCCCATCAGCCAAATTCAGATGACAGGATATGAAAGAAGAAATATGTTTAAAACTCATATATTTGTGCCCCAGAAGGTTAGTGAACCTGTTAAAGGGAAATCCCTCTAGGGCAAGAGATCTAGAAATCAGACCATGGAGTGGAAAACTAGAGCCATAATAAAACAGTTCCAGCAGAGGCTGCAGTGACACTCTTCACCTGTAGTGTGTGGACCCATCCTTGTAGCATACTGGAGGGTTTATTGATATTGGAGCTGAAAGTCATAGAGCTGGGGACAGGCGGTAAGGCCCAGATCAGGCACATAGGTACAGGCACCACTGAAGTCAATGGGAGTGGTAACCATGTAACCTGGGGCAGGACTGGCCCTGCCGTGTCTGTCACCCATTTCTGTGGGATGCTGTAGCGTTTGTTGTTTGGTTGTTGAGGTCAGAGTTAGGGAAGGCCTGGCCCTTTCAGCAGGAAGCTTCTCTGTTGAGCAATCACATGATTAGCAGGTTCCCACAGGATTTTACTCACAGCCCCAGTAGAAAGGGGATCTGATCCATTCCCCCTCATCTCTGAGCTGCTCCTCGGTGATTCAGCTCAGTAAAGTTAGTTACACTGTTTCTCCACAGGCCCCTCTGAGCCCTTCTTGGGGACCTGCCCACTTCCCTTCCCCTCTCTAAGCCCCCCAATTCTACCACATTCCCGCTAACAGAGGAGGGTTGAATACGCCTAGGAACCTGCTCCTGTCATGACATGTGTCTCCGAGTGGGTTGCTAGGAAGTGAGGAGAGTTGTTCCTCTCCAGCATATGAATTCACATCCTCTCCAGGCCTCCCAGCTCAGGGCATCAATTCAGTTCCTCTACATGGTAGCTCTGCCAGACAGCACTGAGCTGGCCGTGTCTGTTCTCATTCTGAAATTCTCACACAGTCTTTATAATGCAGCAAGTGTGTGTGTGGAATAAAGTAATTGAAATCCTGAAAAAAATGCCATTGTGAATCAGGAGAAGTGAAAATTTCTTTTATATGGAAGGAAATTTCTCCAGGGGCAAACTCTCCTGCTTATTTATATTTGTACTGCAGGCTGGGAACATGTTGGCGGCTTGTAGGGCTGAAAGTTTTCCCCAAATACCATGTAGCAGTTGATTGAGAAGGTGGCTTGGCTAAGGAAGCAGCTGTGACACTGAACGGAACAGCACAGGGAGGTTTTTGTACTGGGTTGTATCACTGTGAGAGGTGAGCTCCAGCCTTGTTGACAATAATAATCTCCAGCATCTTCCGCCTCAACCTTACTGATTGTGAGAGTGAAATCGGTTCCAGACCCACTGCCACTGAACCGGTCTGGGATCTCAGCGGCGCGGGTGGAAGCCTTGTAGATCAGGAGCTTCGGAGCTTGTCTGGGTTTCTGTTGGTACCAGGCTAAGTAAATAGTACCTGAAGAGCCTGTAATGCTTTCACTGGCTTTGCAGTTGATGGTGACTCTGTCTCCAGGAGACACTGCCAGGGATTCCGGACTCTGAGTCATCACAATGTCCGCACTGGAATCTGAATTTACAAAGAGAATATAAGTTAATACAAATACAGATCTAGTCAATCAAACTAAACAATATAGTACCTGTAAAATAGTCCCATGTGCATCTTTACACAATTGCTAAACCTAATTACCTGGCCATGATGCTAACATTAAGCTCAGAATGGCTCTTTCAGCCTAACCCTTATTCCCATTTCTTGTTATTTCCTCAATCTTCTCCCTTTTCTTAATTTCAATTAAAATGAGATAAAGATTTTGATAAATTAGTGTAATTCTCTGATGGTTGTTTGTTGAACATTTATATCTCAGTAATTCCTACTGGCTTCAACCAGATTGGACCCAGTGGTTCCGGCTGCTGTCCAGACAAATAATAGGTGACAGTCCCTGCCACAACGAGCTTACTATCTGAATAGACTTTGATTGTAGATGTAATTTATGGGTCAAAATACACCATTTCTAGATCTTTTAAAATTTTCAGTAGATCATTGTACTTCATCAAATTCCTTTTGATCCTTACCCTGGACCCAGAGCACTAACAGCCAGATGAGCTGAGCTCGAGAGATCATCTTGATACGTCTGACTGGTCTGATGCTGATCAACAAACCGTAACGAGTGCCTCGGAGCATTTATAACAGCTCAGAGCAGCAGGGGGAGGTCACTTGGGTGTGAAATATGCAAATTGGGTTCAGAGATGAAAACTCATGCCTAGTTCATAGACGTGCACAAAAAGGGAAGGGGTCGGGGTGAAATTGGCAAGTCCAACCCCACAGTCCTGGGGGCAAGAGCCTCTCTGTTAAAATGTCGTTTGTCAGGACAGAATGGCAATAAGTTATCCTAGCAATAATAATATGCTGGGAAGGGGGTTAGTCTCACTGTTATGCTGCAGATCTCCTCACAGTAGTGATACAAATGGTGACAGAGAAACTGTACTGCATGGGGGAGGGCTGCAATCGATGGTGAACACAAATTTATTTGTATTACGTAGTGCTAAGAGGTGCCAGTCTGGGATCAGGACCCCGCTGTGTTAGATGCTGTACACACACATTATGAAAAGTCAGTCACTGCTCCAAAAATGCTGCAATCTAAGTCTAAGATAAGAGACAACAGGTGAAGGGGGAAAAAACCACCAGAGCAGAACAGCTCAAGGTAACGGTGAGATGGTTTTGAGAAGTTCACAACAGCCATTTCAGCAACCAGTCCTTGTCATTGTGTATGTCCACCAGAGTGGGTCACTGGAAAACACCAGGAGCTGTTCCTTCCCTCCCAGGGACCCACCGCTTCTGCTGCCTTCTAGTCCCGCCCAGCTAGAGATATGATTCAAAATCTAATCCCCACATGGCAGCATTGTTAATAACAGGCTGGGATGACATTTTCTCTTCAAATCCTGAACACTTGGTCTCTGTCAAGCAGCCAGTAAGAATTACTTTGGAAGCAAGGAGTAACATCATGTAAGCCAGAAAATAAATGCTGCCCTCGATCACATCATGTAAAATCCCTGCTTCATACAAGGAAATTTCTCCAGCAGCAAACTCATCTGGGCTGTCTGCTTATTTTAAATTGTATTGTAGGCTGGGGAAGGGTGGTAGCACAGAGGGACTGTGACCCAAGGAGCGAGGTTCTGAAAAGCTGTTCAAATGAAGTATAGCAGCTGGCCAGAGATGGTGACTGTTTAGTAAGTGAAATGAACAGCACAGGGATGAGTTTGTACAGGTCTGAATCAGGGTAAGAGGGGTTGCTCTTGCCTTGTTGACAATACTATTCTCCTGTATCTTCAGCTTCAACACTGCTGATTGTGAGAGTGAACTGACCCACTGCCAATTAACTGGGCTGGAACCCTATAGGCAAGGATAGAAGCACTACAGATGAGGAACCTAGGAGCTTTTCTAGATTTCTGTTGGTACCAGGCTAAATCATAGATTGTAAAAATATTTCTGTGGCTTGAACTGGTTTTGCAGTTGTGTGAGACACTGAGCCTGCAAGCTTGTCTTGATGGTTCGGAGCCGTCCAGTGCTGATCGATTAACCATGGAGAGTGAAATGCAATATTGCTTTGTACTGGGAAAAGATCCTGCTCGGTGCAGCAGGAAAAGATCAGTCAGATATGAGTAAGCAAAGCATCTCGTGTCACTCCCTGTAATAGATGGTTAGCCCTTAGATCGGCAATTCTTAACTTTTTTGGAATCATGCCCCTCCTTAGCATTTTGTTTTTATTTGGAGGCTGCCACCTTTCTCTTTACAATAGTGAGGATACTGCCACCTAGCATTGCTAATGTGTTGATATCAGGTAGCTTTTTAAAAGCACGCATCTTAATTGACACACAATTATATGGAAGTATTTCTCAATTTCAACATCAAGGCGTGCTAGTACACATTTCAACCTCATGCACAAAGTCACAACACCATTCCCTCATGGGCCCAGCCACTTGAAATGCCAATCAGATTTCTGTTGGTTCTAGGCCAAGTGCTCAATGGCTGAATTGATAAGAGTTGAACTGGCTTTGCAGTTGATGGTGACTCTGTTTCCCGGAGACACTGCCAGGGATTCTAGAGTCTGAGTCAGCACAATCTGCCCACTGGAGCCTGGATAGGGAAAACAATTAAAATAAAAAGAAACTGATCAATTGAACAAAATAATGGTTACTGAACCAAAGCTGCATCTTTCAACATCTGGTCTGTTACATTCATTTAGCCCCTTTTGTTACAATCTGGCTTTTGTGCACTTGGGATGGGATTAAATTACATATTTAGTTTGGTAAATAATTCTATAGATTTTAAGTCCTATTTTTAAATGGTCTCTCCTCTGTTCTTGTCCCTACCCGGAATCCAGAGCATGAGGAGCCAGAGGAGGTGAATCTGCGAGATCATCTTGATACTTCTAGCTGGCAGAAACCTGAGCTCAGAATCAAAAGTGTTGAATTGTAACATTTATATCTGCTCCACTGTGCAAGGAAATATCACTTGGGTGGAAACATGCAAAGCAGCTGTTCTGTGTAAATGTCCCATATACAGCCTTGATCTGGGACTGCAGCTCCCACTGATGGTAAGAAGAGATTGTACAGATAGGTGACAGCAGGATATGGCCCTTACAATCTGCATGTTAGCTGGCTATCGGTGGGGTGTGTGCCACTGCTAATTTAATCACTCTACAGTGCCTGGAACCCACAATGTGCTTGGAGAGAGGTTTGCAAGATGTGGGCACCTGGATCCTTTACTTCAGTGCTGGATTCCACTGTGGAATGTTTGATTACACGTGGGCACGGAATTGGGCTGGGAGGAGGGTGAGCTGCTAGTATTTAAATCCATGATACAGAATTTTTTGAAGGGCTGCAAAAAAACCCCTTAGGGACAGATTCAGTGATGGTGGTGTGGGGAGGTCCAAATTCCACCTCTCTGCCAGTGAGGCCCGTGGTGTCCCAAAGAAGTCCACCTAAGGGAGTGCAGGTTGTGTTTGTGCTACCACCCTTCTTCAGGAGTCACCCAGAACTCTGGGGCTCCCTGGGAGAGTGAGGAGAGGTTCTGGATCAGCACATTCCGTGGCCATGCAGCCTTCTTACCCTAGAGCCAGGCACTTCTTGGGCTGTGTAGACTCTAGCGGTTGTACCTGCTTGGGGAAAGGTACAACTTGCTTCCCAAGAGGACCTTGTGGTGGTTGGGTATAAACAGGTTTGTAGGTTTAGACCCTCCGTAGTGTGTTTCTTTCTGGCAGCTGAATCACATCTCAGTGCCTCTCTACGGGGATCTGGATGCTGCTACTGTAGTGGGGCAGAGCTCACTGAATGGAAGCTTGTGCATCTGTATTGGTGAGGACTGGTTTGTGTAAAACCAAACCCAATCGCCAGACTCCCTCCTCCAAAAATTCAAGTTACAGGATAGAAAAGAAAATCTGTGTTTTAAACATCATTTATTTGAACCACTAAAGATGAATTCACCTGTTAAAGAAAATCATTCCAGGATAATAGACCTAGACACTGTATTCAGGGAAAACAATACTTCAGCAGACACTGCACCCTGTCCTCAGCTGCTGTGTTTGGGACCAGGCTTGAGGACATTGTGGTATTTATTTTAAATGACAGCTGAAAGTCACAGAGCTGGTGAAATGTCTGGATCCTGGTGAGAGAAAACATTTCTATTGTACAATCAGTTCAGGCATTTCAGAAGTTCCCATTGGAGTTACTCACAGTCCTAATCCAAAGAGAATCAGATCCTTTTATGACTGCATTCTTAGCTTGGTTGTCTGTCCCTCTGTAGTGACTGGACCACATGGTGTTTTTGAGCTAACAGATTTGTTCCTTTAGCTCAGTCAAGATTCATGCGATTAAACCCCTAAGGTCCCAGGTTCAATTCCTGCTGCGGGCAACCCATTTAGGGCTGTTACACTTTCACCACAATTTTGAGCGTCCCGTCTTCATTGATTCAACCTAAAAATGGTGCGGCCATTACCTGAATAGTATGTCCAGTTCTGGTGCCCACGCTTCAGAAAGGAAGTTCAAAGTTCAGAGAAGAGCTAAAAGAATGTTTTGCAATCTGGAAAATCTGCCTTACTGTGAGAGACTTAAGGAGCTCAGTCTACTTATCAAACAGTGAATTAAGAGGCCACTTGACAATGGTCTCTAGATACCTACACAAGGAGAAGATACTTGGTACCAGGGAGTTCCTTCATGTAGCAGGCAAAGGTATAACAAGCTCCAGTCTCTTGAAGCTGTAACTCAACAAATTCAAGCTCGAAATGAGATGCATATTTTTAAACAGTGAGGGTAATTAGTGATTGAAGCAGCTCACCAAGGGATATGGTGGATTCTCCATAAGATTTGATATCTGCCTAAAGAAATGCTATAGCTCAACCAGAAGACAGGGGTTACTAGCTGGAATTTTCTGGCCAAGAGGTCAGACTAGATTGCCATAAGGGGCCCTTCTGGCGTTAACATCTATGAATTTATAAAAATGCTATTTTTGTTTCCCTTTTGAGCTCATCTTGGGGACCTGGGACCTGTCCAAACTTTACTCCTTCCCCTCTGTCGAAGGATCCACATTGCTGCATCCTTTCCTCTAGCAACTGCGGGGTGAATGTAGCACCTTATACAGTCTCTCCTCATCTTTCCATGAGTCCACCACAGCAGGTTGCTAGAGATCAACATGAGGTTTTCTTTGTAGGGTTTGAACTCTCTGCTTCTGCATCCCTCCTAGCCAAGGGTCTCCCTAGAGCACAGGCCTAGGGTTGGCTGAAAAAAATGGGAATTGCTTTCTGTGAAAAATTTAGTTTGACATTTTTCCTAAAATTTTCTGACTTTGTGATTAAATGAGTCACAACAAAAATATAATTTCATTTAAATTTAAAATAATATTTTTGGTGTGAATTGGTCATGGAAAACTTTAAAAAGTTGTAGAATAAAAATGTTTATTAAAATAGCCATATAGTTAGTCATTGTTCTTCAGAAATATTTGTCAAGGAAAACCTTTCAACCAGCCCCAGTTCTGCTTAATCACATGGCATCTTTGCCAATATAGCATTGGAGAGGCAAGGTGGGTGAGGTAATATCTTTTATTGGACCAACTTCTGTTGGTGAGAGTGACATGCTTTCGAGCTACACAGAACTGACCTGAGGAAGAGCTCTGTGTAGCAAACAAGTTTCTCTCTCTCACCAACAAGCTGGCCCAATAAAATATTTTACTTCACTCATCATGGCTGTCTAATATCCTGGGACCAGCACAGCTACAACACTGCCTAAGATAGTATTGGGACATTTTCTTTCTGAAATGTTCAGTCTCCAGAGGGCTCGCAACAGGAATTATTTTTGGGAGTCAGAGAGTAAACTCATTTAATCCAGAAAAAAAAAAGAGACTCCTTAAATATGGGAGCAAATTTCTCCAACAGCAAACTAGTCTAGCAAGCAAAAGAGCAACAAGAGTGCAGTGGAATCTCTGGCCCAAATACTGAGGTGCTGAAAGACTGATCAAACCTCAAGTGTAGCAGTTTCATTGAGAAGGTGACTGTTGAGGAAACAGCTGTGACATTGGACAGAGCAGCACAGGCAGGTTTTTGTACTGGTCTGTATCACTGTGAGAGGGAAGCTCTTGTGCTGTTGACAATAATAATCTCCAGCGTCTTCAGCTTCAACCCTGCTGATGGTGAGGGTATAATCACTTCCTGATCTACTACCACTGAACCGGGCTGGGATGCCAGATTGCAGGGTGGAAGCATAATAAATAAGGAGTTTAGGAGCTCGTCCTGATTTCTGCTGATACCAGGCTAAATGCTCTTTGCCTGTAGAGCTATGGGTGAGGCTTGAACTGGCTTTGCAGTTGATGGTGACTCTCTCTCCTGGAGACACTGCCAGGGATTCTGGAGTTTGAGTCAGCACAATCTGCCCACTGGAATCTGAAGTTAGAACAGAATAGAAATGAATACATTGTTAATATACAGTAGGTCAAAGCAAACAAGATTTTCCCTCATAAAGAGTCTCCTGCGCGCATTCCCTATTTACGATAGCTCATTCCCTGGCTGAGAGGCTAACGTTAGGCTTCAGGCAGCTCTGTCACTGTAACAGTTTTCATTTGCTTGTTTAGGGCACATTGGAGTCCATGGAAAGACTCCCATGCACTTTAATGGGCTTTACAACAGGCCCAAATATTTTAAACGTGGTCTTGCTTTCTCATTGGTGCTTAAAATGAGAGAGAGATGCTCAGAAGTTAGCAGAACCCTCTCAGGGATATTAAGGGTTTGAGAAACAAGGTTCCTAGATCTTTTCATTTCTCTTTAAAGGAGGATCTTGCTTATAACCAAGCCAGTTCCCTCTTGGTTTGGTTCTTACCCTGGATCCAGAGCACTAACAGCCAGAGGAGCTGAGCCTGGGAGATCATCTTGGTTTGTTTGAATTGACAGATGCTGATCAACAAACTGTAACAAGTGACACGGATCATTTATAACAGCCCAGAGCTGCAGGGGATAGTTTGGGTGTGAAATATGCAAATTTGGGTTAAATATGAAAATTCCCATCTGATCCAAACCATCAGAAAAAGGGAAGGGATGGGACATTAGGGTAATAGACAAGCTCAACTCAGCAGGGCCGGTGGCAGCTCCCTCACTTTGTGCTGAAATGGGAAGAGGAGTTGTTACCAATTAAGTCTATAGTAGTAACGCCCAGAAACCTCAACTAGCGTCAGTGCCCCATTGTGGCAGATGGTGTAGTAACACACAGGAACACACAGTTCCTGACGCTTGTGTTGTGTTGAAATGGCAGTTGACATGGTGGCCTAATGTTAGACTCCAAAGGCCATATTTAAACACAAAATAAGTGGCCTCATTTTCAAAGCACATAGCATCCAGCAGCTGCAAAATGAAACATAGTAAAGTGATGCCATCTGGTTGCACTTATGTGGAAAGTCAGCTTTGTGTTTATAGAGGTTTTAGATTTAGAGCTGATGGAAATGTTTCACAAAAAGATTTCAAAATTTTTTGAACTCTATACTTTCAGTTCACTGATCCCCTCCCAAATATTTTCCCTTCTCTGTATACTATTTGCAGAGGGAGGGGGAAAGTATGTGTATGTGATAAAAAATGAAATGGAGTTTTTCCTGAAAAATTGTTTTAAATTTTTGTCAGGGTAAAAATGAGCAATTTCACAGAACTTCAACTGAAATGAAAATTTTTTTCCTATGAAATACTTCACAAAATATACTTACCTCTGTTTAGATTATGTTCAAGATATACAGTACTTGCTAACCAGATCACATGGTTACAGCAGCAGCTTATCTGCCTGAGGTAAGTTTTTAGATCTGTATTTTTCCATTTTTGTTCTCTCAAGTTTTATTTACTGAGAGTTT